AGGGAAACAGTAGCAGCCATCTGAAATATGTGATTCCCAGCAGAAGGACTTAAATGCAAACCCAGTTCACAGGGATAGTCAGTGAGTAGAGACAGATACTTAGGAGGTGGAGGAGAGAAAAAACAGAAGAACCTGGGACTGTAGGAATTTTTTCTAAGCTAGAGCAGTTCTTCCTCCTCCAGTTAGAGGTTGTAGACTGTTAATAGTTTGCCTGCGTTGCCTTTGGATTTGTTTATTTGCTCAATGAAAGTAAAGTCATTTCAAGAAACTGCTAGTCAAAGTGACCAAAAGAGTGTCTGGATCAGCAGAGAGCAAGCCACACTGCAGGCATATAGAGGGGGTGACCCAGTCCCAGCACCAGTGACTTTTTGTGTAGTATGAAATGACCACCAGAACTGGCAAAGTCTTACAATGCTAAGGATTGGAGTAAAAGCCACCCGGAGTGCATTTATGCAGAAGACACCTGTTAAGATAGCCTCTCCTCTCTATATACCTCCAGGCACCACAGGCTGTGAGTTTAGCAGAGGTAAGCTCAGTGTAACAAGAGCTTTATTTTTGCAGAGACATAAAAGAACGATGAATAAGACCCTACTTAATATTTTGAAATGCATCCAGCTCTATCTTCTAGGTCTAATTTTACATTCAGAGGCATAACGGTGCTAAAACAGAAGATTTGGATGTTGCAGTTTTGAGTTGCATTCGGACACATGCTTGTTACTGCTTGTAACTGGAGCATACCTGAAATAGTCACAGGACGCAGCTAGAAGTATACGGTGAGCTTCAATAGGTTTCTCTTCCACTACCAGAACTACATCGAAGAGGATGCTGCTGTCTCGGAGAGATACCAAGCCACTGAGCAAGGCCTGTGAGTGCTCTGCACTGCGGTATGTGTTGCTGGTGCGCTGCTGAAGGGAGGGCTCGAGCTGAGCTTTGTGAGGCTGAGTCAGCTCCTGATCCTCCGCCATCCCAGGCAGAAATGCTCAGCCACCAGCTGCAGCAGAATGAAATCTGTGAGACAACAGAATCAGCAAAGGTTTGTGCCTTTTGCTTTACGAATGATCCTCTGACCCGCCTGTCACAGCAAATAAATCAAACCAACTCTTCAGTACAATGGAGAGACATTAAACACAGTTCTGTCCCAGAGACATTATTCTGAATGACGATCCTGGAAATGGACAGGCGTACATCAACATACCAAACAGGCAGAACCTGGTATTTCAAACAAGTATTCTGACTCTCGGTTTTCAGTCCAAGAGTCAGTATATAGCATGTGGGGATAGTTTTTTCTGAGCAAGTTTCACTTCCCAGTCCATAGCAAGAACCCCATGTTTCCATTGCATTTCTACATCATTTATAACAAAGGACAAAGCTGAAACAATTTTTGCTAAATTTCAAATTGGCTACTATCCTTAGATAACTGTTGCAATATAAACTGCATCTTCAAATTTGTTCTTGATATCTTACCACAGTATCTCAAAGCTCTCATCTTTGCTTTTTCATTTTTCCCCCAATGAGCACATTTCCATCTGTCATTGTGCAAGATACTGTATGAAACTGTAGGCTTTGAAATGTCTTTACTGTGACTATTTCGAGCTAGCATGCACAACTACTTTCTATTTCACTGTGATTCCCTATACAGGCAGTATCTCCTCCAGTGTTGGCACTGGAGCTGGCTATCCCATACCTTTTTCTACTGCTGCCCTTGACATGATAGGAAGGTCTCTATGGCATATGGGGAAACACCTGTCAAGAGCTAGCTGTAAGTCACTGTGTTTCATGTCAGTGGTTAAGATCTCAAAATCTCATGATTCCTCTCATCCTCAATGTTACCCTTTTCCATTGCATTTGAAGAATATGAGAAGCTGTAGCAGTTAGATCTGTTTGAATCTGTCCTGTTGTCAGAGCACATAAAAAAAAAACATTAGCAAAAGGAAGTAACTTAGCTGATTTGTCTGCTTAAGATGCTGTTATAATAACCTCTCTTCCTGTGCCCCTGGGAAATAGCTTAGTGACACAAGGGATAGTCACAAGGGGTTATCAGCAGTCAGAAAAGCAAAGGCAGAACAAATCCAGCAAATCCAAACAAACAATGAAGAAATGGGACCATTGTTTAATTGTGCCAGCCATGGATAGCGAATGCAGTATTGGAAATCTCTCGAAGTACTGCAAGGTATCCAGTGTATGGCCAGCGAGGAAAGAGCTTTCTGGATGACACACGGAAATATGAAAACATGTTTATTGTACTGCCTGCAGGAAGTTACCTTATACTGTCCAAAGCAAAAGAAAGCTAGGTGGCAATGCATGGTTTATGGGATGGAAAAAACTGAAAGAGCATATTAATAGTTGTCTGCTCTTTTCCATGCAAAACCAAGACAACCAGTTCAGAAGAGGAGCTCTGCTGAGACAGCCTTCTAGGGAGTATGTTCAGGTTGATTATACAGTGAAACTATCTGTCAGCAGCTGAGAGATAAGTAATGGATTGTTCTTCGTGACAGGTAGATGCTTTTCCTAGAAATAAGATGACTGTTTTGAAACACATTAAGTGACTGCTGTGTTGTTTGTTTTGCTCCTGGGTAACACCAAAAGTGATGGATTGAGACAATGGAGATAATACTGTAAGAAAGGCAAGTGAAGTGAAGTTAGTGTTACCAGATGTTGATCAGAAATTTCCCGCTTCACTCAAAAAGAGGACAAATATGGCAAGAACAAAGTGGGGTGTGATATGGTCCAAACCACATTTAACAGAGTTTGCTCTGAAAACGGTCGCACCTTTTTGGCAACTTAGAGAGCCATATCAGAATAAATCTCTATGGGAGTACAATCATTGCCTCAAAAAGCAGAAGTAAATGTAACAACGGAACTGCTTTCTGAATTAAAAGACTGTAGCTGGGTAGGGGAAACAGCATGACCTTTGATGCGATCTTACACTGTGTCATATAGTGCAGCCATTAAAATGAAGCATATTAGAACTAAACTAGCCATGGAATCAGTGCAACAAATGTTAGTGAGGAAATGTGTTGTAGGAGAGGTGGCTCCACTGTAGAGTGAAGTGCAGAGTCATGACAATGGGAACAACATCAGCATTCCAGTAATGCCACCGCTCTACTAAGAGACAATACACATGTAACTGCGGGTTGTCATCTTATCAGAGCCTCTAGTAGTGGCAATATGACAGAAACAGGCAACCCACATGTGTGTGTGTGTGTGTGTGTATGAAGAGCAGAGTGGGAAACCGGTGTAATCATGCCAAGGGACTACCCCATGTACCAGTGTCTGGACCTGATTCTCACTGAAAAGTGGGATGATGGTCCAATATTGCATTAATATTATTCATTATGCAAGCAATACTGCCGGTGTATTAGTACTGTTTACTGTGACCGTGTCTGAAAATGGGGAATCTCCTCCAATATAAGAAACTGCTAGCTAATCCTAAAACACAAAGAGCTTTTTCTGTGTGAGCTAGTGGCCGCGCTAGCAGAGTAACAACAATGTGGAGGAGAATGGGACTGAAGAGCTGCTTCAGGAAGGACTTGGTACAGTTATTCTGCACAGCAGGCACATGAACCAGCGCTGCCAGCTGAGGCCTGCACTGCCAAGCCTGTATGAGCATTAGTATCTGGAGAGATACTAATTTCACTGACTAATGGGACTTTCTTGGAGACCTGTGGGGGTGTTTATCTCAGTGTCAGGGCTCCTAAATATGGACTTGAGTTCTCCAACAACTCTAAACTGTTAGCGATAGCTGAACAAACTAGCCCTTCTGGCAGATCTGTGGTAAGCCCAGTGGGGTCATCCTGCAAATACAGCTGCTGGGACTATAACCAAACCATCCTCCACAGCTGATTTTTGGCTAGCCCTCAGGTATTTTGCTAAGTTCTATTTTTTGAACTTTGGCAGGTCCTTTCTTGTTCTCAGCGTCTACTCCTGGATTGTAGCTTGGCTCTCACTGGTGAACTGGCTTGTCCTCAGGCTATTCACTCATGCAGTGCTGTACATCCATATGAGAGCTGCCTTACACTTTTGGAGCACAGTACCATCATGGTATGGGAATTCACCACTCTATAGCTCCCTGTGAGTATTCTGGCATCCGCAGCTATTGGATGCTAAGCAGCTGAGGGTATGTAGGTTGAATACTGAGGCTGCTGTGGAGGAAGCGAGGAATACTATTTAGCAGGTACAGTTTATGTGGTGTAAAATTTGCCAGCCTTCAAGAAGCTCTTTTTGTACACGGATACATCAGGTTCCTTACTTAACACTGTGGCAACTCAAGAGAACCTATATTCCTGTATTTGTACCTTCCTGCCCTCTGAAACCAGGCTTCAAGGCTCGTAAGTATAAATGTCTATTGTTATTGTTATTAACAGTGTAGTACAAAGCTCTGGAAAAATGCACACTACTGATTTTAATGAACTGTTGCCTACTTATAGAATTAAAGGTGGACATTTACAGTATTCATCCATGATGTCTGACTGGCATATGTACTAAGTCCTCTTCTTTGATCCAAAAGCCAAGAAAAAAGTCTTAACTCCTACTTAGGTAGATTTAGGAGCTAGTAGAAAAGACCTTTATGATAAGAGTAGAGGGCCACTACAGGCTTGTGGGGGTTGGCTAGCAAGATCCACTCAGCTGATTACTGAGTGCCCTCGGCTGCATAATAGCTGTACAAGGGGCAGCTGGGGATGGGAGTGCAGGTGTTAGGAGTCATAAAGAACAGTTGTTGAAAGAAGGGTATTGGGGATTGTGTTGTGTGGCTGCTTTGCAGGGAGAGCTAGGTGTTTTTAAGTGTTCAGGTCTTTCTGGATGCAGTGTGGTGTGCCTCTCTGAACTTGTGATCACAGAATCGTTTAGGTTGGAAGGGACCTCTGGAGATCATCTAGTCCAACCTCCCTGCTCAAGCAGGGTCACCTAGAGCATATTGCCCAGGATCACATCCAGACGCGTTTTGAATATCTCCAGCGAAGGAGACTCCAC